CTTCTTCTCCTTCTCCGTGCCTTATCTTTTCCCTGTTTTAATGTTGTCTTTGATGTCTGCATGTCATTTGACAGGGAGTTTTGAGAATGTTTAAAAGGCAGAGAGTGAGAGATTTCAAAGAAATTGTATTGTAGTTTATAAACAGAAACCCACCCTACACTTTGGTGTATCTTTCCTATCTCACCTCCACCCTAACTGAAATTCTTTCAGTTCCTCAGTTGATAAATGTCCTTATTTTTGCAATTCCACATACCCAGAAATAACTTAATTATCCCTCTGTTTCCTGAACCACTGCTTCCATCATTAGCATGACTAACACAGTGTTAGATTTTCCCGTCTGCATCTCTGTAGCTTATGATTCTAAGCTCTCTGAAGGTAAGAAATGCTGTTATTCCCCAACACCTACTACAGTGGTTGGCATAACTAATAAATATGTTATCATTGAATGAATGATATGTACCCAGTAACCTGAAAGGACAAGAAGTTTGAGAGTATTTTGGGGCTGGCACTGTGGCATGGCCTTGTGGTACCAGCATCCCATATGGTGCTGGTTCAAGTATCATCTACTTCACTTCCCATCCAGCTCCCTGCTAATGCACCTGGGAAAGCAGTGGAAGATGACCCAGTACTTGGGCCCCTGCACTCACATGGGAGACCTGGATGAAGCTCCTGGCTTCAGTCTGGCCCAACCCCAGCTGTTGTAGCCATTTGGGGAGTGAACCAAAAGATGTAAGATCTCTCTCTGTTTGTCTGTCTCTCCTCCTCTGTAACTCTATCTTTCAAATAAGTGAATAAATCTTAAAAAAAAAAAAGTATGAGGGTATTTCAAAAAAGTACATGGAAAATGGAATTAAAAGATAAATTTGTTGCAAAAAAGTGTGAAATGTGTGCATAAATGTGCATTATGAAGAAACTACGTGGGGGTGGGCACTGTGGTGCAGTGGGTTAAAGTCCCTGCCTGCAGGGCCGGCATCCCATAAGGGCACCGGTTTGCGTCCCGGCTGCTCCACTTCTGATACGGCTCTCTGCTATGACCTGGGAAAGCAGTAGAAGATGGCCCAGGTCCTTGGGCCCCTACACCTGCATGAGAGACCTGGAAGAAGCTCCTGGCTCCTGGCTTCAGATTGGCTCAGCTCCAGCTACTGCAGCCATTTTGGGAGTGAAGCAGTAGATGGAAGATCTCTCACTCTCTATGGCTCTACCTCTCTCTGTAACTCTTTCAAATAAATAAATCTTAAAAAAAAAAAAAAAACTATGTGTGGATTTCAAAAATTTTTGAACCAAAGTAAATTCAACTTTTTTATATTTTTAAATTTATTAATATATAGAGAACAGATTTTATGAATTTCATAGTTATGATTCCAAGAATACAACAGTACTTTCCCCTTTCCCCTCCATCTTCCTTCCTTCCTTTTCTTTTAATTGTTAGCAATTACATACTTTCAATTTACTTTATAATCACAGGAATTTTTCTGTGAGCCTTGTGAAATACTCTTGTATACTTTTTTCTGTTTGCATTTTCAGCAAATAAGCAATTTTTTCCTTAGGATTTATTTATTTATTTAAGAGGCAGAGAGAGAGAGAGAGAAAGTCTTCCATCAGCTTATTCACTCCCCAAATGGCCACTAAGGCCGGAGCTGGGCCAATCTGAAGCCAGGAGCCAGGAGCTTCTTCTGGGTCTCCCACGTGAGTACAGGGGCCCAAGTACTTGGGCCATCTTCCACTGCTTTCCCAGGCCATTAGCAGGGAGCTAGATGGGAAGTGGAGTAGCAGGGACACGAACTGGTGTCCATATGGGATACCGGCACTGCAGGCACTGGCTTTACACGCTTTGCCACAGCACCAGCCCTGTTGCTTTCTTTGTGAACTAATTGATGATGTCAGGAATATAAACTATTAATTGGGGCAGGCATTGTAGCCCAGAGGGTTAATCTGCCACTTAGGATGCCTACATCTTGGAAGTGCTTGGTTTGAGTCCCAGCTACTCTGCTTCTGATCCAGCTCCCTGCTCATATGCCTGGGAAGGCACTGAGTACTTAAGTTCCTGTCACCAAGTGGAAGATCCAGATGGAGTTCCTGACTTCTGGCTTCAGCCTGGCCTATCCCTGTTTTTGAGGGTATTTGGGGAATGAACCAGCAGATGGAAGATCTCTCTGTGTCTAGCTCTCCTTCTTTGTCACTCCACCTTTCAAATAAATAACTAAAGGTTAAATAAAAATAGGGTTGTAACACTGAACATGACCATAACATGAATAAATAAATCACCAATTATGATTTAGAATATAGTAGTCTGAATCTCATAAGAATATTTTAATTTCATGTTACATTTCAAACCAGAGTTACAAACTCTGCCAAAGGTGCATATTCATGATTAAAGAGAAATTGCTACATAAACTAACAGTCTTTTTATACACAAAAGTGTAAATCTTAAAACTTGAAAACAAAATGTCAGACATTAATTTCTTCATTGTTTTTATATAAAATTTAGCAACAATTTGACTTTTAACTATAACTTTTTTATACATCAGCTTACAGGAACATAGTTTATGTCTGAAAATTATGTCAGGTTATGTCCAATAAGATTCTTGAGAAATAACAATTAACCAAATCATAGTAGGTAGTCATGGATAACACTTTATTGTGCCTTAGTATCTTTCACCATCTACTTTGATTTTTTTTAAGTAAAATTTTCTACCTTGTATTTATAATCACCTGAATTTGTATTTTTTGAGTTTCTTGGAAACTATGATTTTGAAACAAGCATGATTTTTTTTCTTATTTTTTGACAGGCAGAGTGGACAGTGAGAGAGAGAGACAGAGAGAAAGGTCTTCTTTTGCCATTGGTTCACCCTCCAATGGCCGCCGAGGCCGGTGCACCGCGCTGATCCGATGGCAGGAGCCAGGTGCTTCTCCTGGTCTCCCATGGGGTGCAGGGCCCAAGCACTTGGGCCATCCTCCACTGCACTCCCTGGCCACAGCAGAGAGCTGGCCTGGAAGAGGGGCAACCGGGACAGAATCCGGCGCCCCGACCGGTGTGCCGGCGCTGCAAGGCGGAGGATTAGCCTAGTGAGCCGCGGCGCCGGCTGATTTTTTTTCTTTTGAAACAAATAGTTCATGTCAGTTAACAGAAGGCAAAAAATGTTTTTAAGTATAAGTGTACACTGTTACAATATTTAACTTAAATGGTTTTTGTATTCATTAGTTTATTCAAGCTTTTTTTGAGCACTGGACTGGGTAGTAGAAAGTATTTTTTTATTTCTCTGAACATTTGCCTATAAGTCTATGTTTATTCAATATTACCAAAAAAAATGGAACTAATGAAGTTCTGACAGTCTGGAAGACTTGATCCAATACTATTTTGTGAATGTTAAATTCATCTCATCTAATGATGTCATTAGGAAATTAACTTTAGAGGCAAAAAAAACTTTTAAGTAAAATCATATGGTTATTAGTACTATAAATTTTCATAGGGAAAAAGCTTTTCCTATTGTAAATATGCCTCAGTTAATATCAAGGAATGACTCCTGGATTTGCTTTTAGTCTGACTACATGATGAGCTACCCCTGTCCTCTGCTATCTCCATTCTTTTTTTATTTTTCTGCATTTCTGGAATATTTTACTTCATTTTACTAAGACTTCCTATACCAAAAGCTGTGGTTCCTCAGATTGATTGTCGGAACTTCTATTATAAATTTCCAAGTTAGATAATAATGTCTGAATGTGTTTGGGGGCCTTCTGTTTCATCCACCATCTTTTTCACTGTCTTAAATGAATCAATAAATCTCTTAATGTTTGACTCTTCATCATTGCATTTGAATTAGGGCAGCTCATTATCCTCCATAAATGAATTTTTTAAAACTTATATTGTGCATCCAGACCACACTCCCTCATTCCCCATAATCCATTCTCTCTATAGCAGTCAAGGATATTTTATAAACTGTACACCAGGGGCCAGCATTGTGGTACAGCAGATTAAGCCATGGCTTGCGATACCACATCCCATACCAAAGTTCATGGGATCAAGTCCCACCTCAGCTGCCGATCCAGCTTCCTGCCAGTGCACCCCGGAGGCAGCAGATGATGGCCCCAGTACTTCAGTTCCTGCCACCCATGTGGGAGACCCAGTTGGAGTTCTGGGCTTCTGGCCTGTTTCAGGCCTGGCCATTGTGGGCATTTGGGCAGTGAACCGCAGATGGAAGAACTCTCTCTGTCTGTGTCTGTGTCTGTGTCTGTGTCTGTGTCTGTGTCTGTGTCTCTCTCTCTCTGTATGTGTGTGTGTGTGTGTGTGATCCTGCCTCTCAAATAAATAAAACATTTTTTAAAAGATTTATTGTATTCCATTTGGAAGGCAGAGTTAGAGAGAGAGAGAGAGAGAGAGATCTTCCATCTGTGGATTCACTTCCCAAATGGCTGCAATAGCCAGGGTTGAGTCAGGCTGAAGCCAGGAGCTAAGAGCTTCATCCAGGTCTCCCACATGGGTGTAGGGGCCCAAGGACTTGGGCCATCTTCTGATGCTTTCCAAGTGCATTAGCAGGGAGTTGGATTGGAAGTGGAGCAGCTAGGACTTGAACCAGAGCCCATATGAGATGCCAGCATTGCAAGCAGAGGCTTAACCCATTAAGCCACAATGTAAGCCTCACAATAAAACTTAAAAAAAAAAAAAAAACTCTAAAGTTATATAACTCGCCTGCTTGAATCTCTGCCATCACCAATGAAACAAAATCTACATTCCTCACCAAAGACTTCAGTCTCCACAATGGCCCATGCCACTGATGCCCCTCAGATCCCAACCCTTCTCTTCCCAGGCTCCAGTGTTCTCAATAGTAGCTTTAAGGGCTTCTGCTCTTCAATTACAAGCCAAACTGCTTATTTCCTTTCATATCGTGGTGAAAGCGTCACCAAGGTGTTCTGTGACCCACCTCTGTCAAACAGCCCATCATTACCTCCTTCTGTCCTGTCTGAGCCATGCCCCCATCCACACCCCTACCCCCACCGCCCCTCCTCCTGCCACCTGCCATCTTCTGTGTGTGTACAGGCAGGTGTCACTCTGTGACAGGGATGTGTTCTGAGAGATGTGTCATCCAGTGGTTTCATGATTGTGTGACTCTGAGAGTGCTTAGTCAAACCTAAACGGTGCAGGTCAGTCACTCAGTGTGGCCTCCTGATGGCATCGAGAGAGGGGGTAACACAAGATGCATGACGTTGCTGCCAGCATCACGTGGCTCACTTTGTGGGAAGTTTTTCTAAGTGGAGGGGGTTCACTCTGACACAACAATAAAAAGCATAGTACATACATAAGCCACTCGCCAGTGCTCTGTACTGCCCGTACTTGGATGCACCATGCTTTTAAAGGGCACGTAGGGCAGCACCGCAAGCAAAGGCTTGAGCCGTGCACTATGACACTGCCGTGGCTACAACAGCACCAGGCGACAGGAAGTTTTCAGTCTTCTGGGCCCACCCTGGTGTATGCAGTTGGTCACTCACTGAAAAGTTGTTAGGCAGCACATGACTGTGTGTTGTCAAAGTGCAGGGCAAATGTAAAGACGCTGTGAGTGGTGAGCCCTGGCCGGAGAGCTTCAAATCCATGCCCCCATGATGGGACTGGCACCTCTCAGGCTCCCTTAGCTGTCAAAGGGCTTGCAGGCTAGAATGGGCGGCCGGAGCAAGTGCAGGGGCTGAGGAGGCAGCAAGGAGGTGGCGGCCAGTCTGCAGCTCTTACTTAAGCTCGGTGCTCCATAGCCTCGTCTCATCCGGTACTCCCCGTCAAGGTGTGATGCAGTCTACTACTTGGCTCAGAAACAGTCAATTTCTTGCGCCAGTGCTGTGGTGTAGCAGGTAAAGCTGCCACCTGTAACGCTGGCCTCCACCTACAACACCAGCCACCCATATAGGTGCTGGTTCCAGAACCAGCTGCTCCACTTCCAATCCAGCTCCCTGCTAATGGCCTGGGAAAGCAGTCGAAGATGGCCCAAGCACTTGGGCCCCTGTACTCACATGGGAGACCCTGAAGAAGCTCCTGGCTCCTAACTTCAGATTGGCTCAGCTCCAGCTATTGCAGCCATTTAGGGAGTGAACCCATAGATGAAAGACCTCCCTCTCCCTCTCTCATTCTCTCCCTCCCCTCTGCCCCCCACCCCTGTAACTCTGGCTCTCAAAAATTTTTTTTTTTAAAGAAAGAATCAACTTCTCAGTCCCTTGAACCTGGGAAGAAGCCCTCCATTTCCTTTGTGTGTGTCATGTGTACATTTTCGAGTCTCGAAATTAGAAGGGGAAAAAAAGCTAATAAATATATTCTTCGCTGAATTTCCTGCCTGCCCTTAACTAGCTCTCAGCAAAAGCAGCCAAGTTCTCCTAACCTCTGCAAGTAAGTTCAGTAGGCTGACAGCTGGATATCAATATTTACATTCTATTATCACATCTGTTGAAGAACCCCAGGCCCAAGTAACTCAGTGGAATTATTCTAGTTTTATCTCTTGACTGCTGGACTCTGAAAAACACACTTCCTCTTTCTGAGAAAGCATGGGTTGTGTGAAGGCAAATATAATTTCCCCCTAAAATACTGTAAAGCCATCTCACCCCAAGAGTTAACCCTTCTCCAGCTCCACGGGCACTCAGTAGACCCAAAGGGCACCCTGATTGATGCGACTTATTTAAAGCCAGTGTTAAAACCATCTGCCAGCTGCAAGACACATCTCCAGCACTTTGATAAACAACCAGGTAAATAGATGTCACGTGAACACTGGCATGAATTGGCTGTGGGCAACAGCAAAGAGAAAATGCATGTCTAATGACTTAGATGTTGTCAAAAATGAATTGTCAAGAAATGAGAATTGGCTGACCACCCAGTGTAGGCACAGTGCTCTAGCTGCATTTCACAAATCATGGGAGATTGCCAGATATGCACTCTCATTGAAAAAATAAAAAGTCCTCCATGGCTGATATACCCTTGGCTAGATATTGCCTACCATAGCAGATGCCAGCAGCTTGAATGATTTGCTGTGCTGTGGAGTCATACTTTCTCCTTTTTTTTATTTTCTTCTCCCAGGCTAATCTTCATCTGATATGAATAGATGTAGTTTGCCCCAGTCAAGATTTATTTACAATGTCTTATTTTCTGCATTATATGCAAGTGCACTTCAAAAACTTTAAGGAAAGTAGAATTAAAAGATAAGTTTATTTTGGTGCAAAAATTTTTGAACACATGCACATTTGTTAATAAGCTCATTTTTCATGAACTCGTTGAAGATCCTTCACATGTGCATTTCACATTGTTTTCTAAAAAATAAACATCTTTTAATTCCATTTTCCACCAACATTTTATTTTCATTTTGTTTTATTTTATTGCCCATTTTAAAAATCAGCTCATTTGGTTTCTTTGCTATCAAGTTGTATGAATTCCTTCTGTATTTTGAATAGTAATCCTTTATTGAACATATGGTTGCAAATATTTTTTCCATTTCATGGTTTCCTTTTTCATTTTGTTCTTTCCTTTGCCATGCAACAACTTTTCCATTTTATGTAGTCCCATTTGTCTATTTTTGCTTTTGTTGCCTGTGCTTTTGGTATCACATCCAAAAATTCTTGCCAAGACCATTGTCAAAGAGGTTTCTTCCCACATTTTCAAAAAGGAGCTCCATGCTTTCAGATCTTGTGTTTGAATCTGTAATCCAGTTTGCATTGATTTATTTGAGCCATTTTGCATATGGTGTAGGAGAAAGATCTAATTTCTTTTCTTTCTTTTTTCTACATGTGCATATCCCATGTTTCCAACACTACTAATTGAAGAGGCTGGTCTTTCCCCATCATGTGCCTATGTCAAAAATTATTTGACCACTTATGCATGTGTTTATTTGTGGGCTCTCTGTTCTGTTGTGCTGGTCAGTTTGTTTTTATACCAGCACCATACTGTATCAATATTTTGTAATCAGGAAGCATAATGCCTCCAGTTTAGTTCTTCTTTCTCAAGATTTCTTTGGCTATTCAGGGTCTTTTGTGATTCACATGATTTTCAAGATTGTTCTATTTCTGTGACTTGTGTTATTGGGATTTTTATTGTGATTGCATTCAATCTATAGATGATTTTGGGTAAGAGGAACACTTTAACAATATTATTTCTTTTAATTCACATTTTCCTATCTATTTGTGTTTCCTTTAATCCCCTTCATCAGTGTTCTATAGATTTTAGTGTAACTCTTTCACTTTTTTTGTAAAATTTATTCTTAAGTGATTTTAAAAAGATTTATTTTGGCATTTGAAAGGCAGAGTGACAGAGAAAGGAGGAGGAAGAGGAGGAGGTGGAAGAGGAGGAGGAGAAAGGAGAGCGGAGAGCGAGAGCGAGAGAGAGAGAGAATGAATCTTCTACCTACTGGTTCACTCCCCAAATGGTCACAATGATTGGGGCTGGACCAGGCCTAAGGTAGGTGCCAGAAATTCCATCCCAGTCTGCCATGGGTGGCAGTACTCCAAGTACTTGGCCATTTTCTGCAGCTTTCCCAGGCACATCACAGGGAGCTGGATCATAAGCAAAGCAGCCAGGACTCAAACCTGCACTCTGATTGATGTGCCAGAACTGCAGGCAGCGGCTTAACCTACTGCACCACAATGCTGGCCCTTAAGTATTTTTTGATGCTGCTGTAAATAAGATAGTTTCCTTTTTCAGATAGTCATCATCGTTAGTATATAGAAATGAAACTGACTTTTTAAAAAAAGATTTATTTATTTGAAATCAGAATTACAGAGAGAAAGGGAGAGGCAGAGGCAGAAGGAGAGAGAGAGAGAGAGAGAGAGAGAGAGAGATCTTTCATCCACTGATTGACTCTCCAAATGGCTGAAATTGCCAGGGCTAAGCCAGGCTGAAGCCAGGAGCCAGGAGCATCGTTGGGTATCCCAAGTGGGTGGTAGTGGCCCAAACACTTGGGCCTTCTTCTGCTTTACCCAGGCCATTAGCAGGAAATCAGATTGGAAATGGCTCAGTTTGGTCATTGACTGGTGCTCATATGAGATGCTGGTGTCACGTGTAGCAGCTATGCCACAATGCCAGCCCCCTGATTTTTTTTTTAATGAGGAAGTTGAAAATTTTATTATGTTTCTTATTTTGCCTTAGAGCTGCTGCTTCACTGTATAACACAGCACCAGCAAATGCAGTATATTGCAAAATTAAGGTAGTATTGTTCTTTTTCTGACACTGTACAACTAACAAAAACTGTTGCCCATTCCCAGTTACTTCCAATGGAAAGATCATTACATATTTTGACCCCAATCCAGAGATGAGTCTAAGCAAGTTACAACATTACATAGGCTTAAGATAACAATGTTATCCTTGAATTACATTATTGTATAACTAGTTTTTACCACAGATAGCTTCTTGTATGCTGAGTACTATTGCCTAGAGCCTAGTATAAAAATCACTAGGTACTGAGAAAAAGATGCATATTGTGTTCATCTGCAGTCATTACAAAGTTAGGGGATATTCTCTTCCAGTAGCAGAGTTGCAGGTAGTATTTCTTCCCATCAATATTGCTAAAAGTTGCTATTTTAAATCCTGTCTGCCACTAATTTAAGATAAAACTGTGCTGGATCAAGTTATTCCATACTAGTTCATGTAAGGGTTCCACTTTCATTCCTCAATAGATTTTATGTATTTCTCATAGGCTTCTTCACTCATAAGTTCATCTAGTTCTGAAGGGTTACTCAGTGTCAGTTTGATCAGCCAACCGTCTTCATAACAAGATTTGTTGACAGGTCCTGGATATCTGCAAGGGCTTCTTCTCCTGATAGAGTAGAGTTCACTAGCTGCTTTCACACTTTCCAAAGCACCAAATTCATTGTGGCTCAGAAAAAAATGAAAACTGTAGAAGGTTCCAGTAATGATGATGTACCTCATGTCAGACCATCTTCCTGCAGATAACAAAGATAAAATCTTTTTTCAATTTTGTCCCTTCAAGCAGACTACAGTAAACATCTCCCAAAGGTTCCTGTGCAAAATTGCTGATTCCCACTGTTCCAATATCATTTTCTGTTGTTATCCATCCATTCATGTTTCTCTGTGAATTTATGCACCGAGAGCAGAGTGGGACCCGTGCACAGTGCCCGGATGGCGCCCGCCCGCAGTCGCTAAGGCAGAAGTGAGCAGGGTGCGGCGGGCGCCAAGGCCATGAGCAGGGTGCACACACGCTCCACACCACTTACCTGATTTTTTTTGGAAATTCTCTTTTATTTCATATTTTATTGTTTTTAATTTTTTAAAGATTCATTTATTTAAAAGGCAACATTACAGGGAGAGAGAGAGAATGAGAATCTTCTATCTGCTTGTTCACTCTGCAAATGGCTGCAACGGCCAGAGCTGGGCTAATCAGAAGCCAGGAGCCAGAAGTTTCTTCCAGGTCTCTCACATGGGTGCAGGGGACCAAACACTTGGGCCATCTTCCACTCTTTCCCAAGCCATTAGCAGGGAGCTGGATTGGAAGTGGAGCAGCTGGAACACGAACTGGTGCCCAAATGGGATGCCAACACTGTAGGTGGTAGCTTATCCTGCTACGCCACAGTGCCGGCCCGTATTTATTTCTTTATATTTCTCTTAAAGGCAGACAGAGACAGAGATCTGCCATCTGCTTGCTCACCTCTCAAATGCTCGCAACAGCCACAGTGGGGATAGGCCAAAGCCAAGAGCTCAATCTGGGTCTCCCATGTCAGTGTTAGGGACCCAGGTACCTAAGCAATCATCTTCTGACTCCCAGGGTGTGCATCAGCAGGAAGCTGGAATCAGAAACAAAGCTGGGGGCTGGCACTGTGGCATAGTAGGCTAAGTCTCTGCCCATAGCACCAGCATCTCTGCACCTGCGAGGGAGACCCAGAGGAAGCTTCTGGCTCCATTGCAACCATTAGGGCGTGAACCAGCAGATGGAAGACCTCTCTCTGTTTCTCTGTCTCTGTGTCTCTCTCTAATTCTGCCTTTCAAATAAATTGATAAATTTAAAAAAAGAAAAAGAAAAAGAAAAAAAGCTGGGACCCAAAATCAGACAATCTGATATCACATGTGGGCATCCCAAAAGTATCTCAACTACTGTGTCAAAAGCCCACTCAGTAATTTCACTTGTGTATGTTGATTTTGTATCCTGCCACTTTACTGAATATGTTTATTAGTTATAACAGTTTTTTGATGGACTCTCTAGGGCTTTCTGTCATATGGAAACAGACAATTTTACATTCTCCTTTCTAAACTGGATACCTTTTATTTATTTTTCTTGCCTAATTGCTCTAGGACTTTCATTACTATGTTGAGTAGAAGTGGTAGGAGTGGCATTCTTGTCTTGTTTCTAAATGAAATGGAAATCTTTTAGCTTTTCACTGTAGACTATGGTGTGAGTTTATCATTTATGACCTTTACTGCATTGATCATTTTTTTCATGGAAGGCTGTTGAATTTAAATTTTTTTTGCATCTGTTGAGATGACCATCTGATTTTCTTCCTTCATTCTGTTTATCTGTATTATCACATTTATTAATTTTCTTATGCTAAACCATCTTTGCATCCCAGAGATAAATCCCACCTGACTGTGGTCTAGTATTTTGTTTTGACTTTTTCATCTTTGTTCACAGGGATATTGGCCTGTAATTTTTTTTCAAGTCTGTGAGCTTTCTCTCTCTCTTTCTTTCTTTCTCTCTTTCTCTCTTTCTTTCCACAGGCACAGTGGATAGTGAGAGAGAGAGAGACAGAGAGAAATGTCTTCCTTTGCCGTTGGTTCACCCTCCAATGGCCGCCACGGCTGGCGCGCTTCGGCCGGCGGACCGTGCTAATCTGAAGGCAGGAGCCAGGTGCTTCTCCTGGTCTCCCATGGGGTGCAGGGCCCAAGCACTTGGGCCATCCTCCACTGCCTTCCCGGGCCACAGCAGAGAGCTGGCCTGGAAGAGGGGCAACCAGGACAGAATCTGGCACCCTGACGGGGACTAGAACCTGGTGTGCCGGTGCCACTAGGTGGAGGATTAGCCTAGTGAGCCACGGCGCTGGCCAATGAGCCTTCTTTCAATCCTGCAGAGTCTAGCTGACTGCAGATCTGACACTAGCTCTCTGGGGATCGGAACAAACCTATGGAGCTGGCTACAGTCAGAAGGGCGAGGCACCCAGAGCATTGGGGATACCTGCAGGTCAGATGTGAGAGAGGAGTTTGCAAGAGAGGAGTCTTCATAGGTTCAGAGGAGGGACTCCTTGATGGAGTTCAGGAAGTGGTCAGTAGGACTCAAGGTTCTTTATTGAGTTTGGGGCCCTGATTGCTATGAGTCCCTACCTGTCTTACCTATTTCCAGACTCTCCCAGCCACTCAACCATGCTGATTCCTTGTGTATCCTGGCTGAGCCAAGAATGAGGTGGACACCTGGGGCAGCACCCACAACAGTTGAAGTGGCTGTGCTCACTGACTTCCATCTTTACCTGTGAAAAGAATGAGGGGCCCAGAGCTGAGGGAGGGCGTCTTTCTTGGCACTGAGCTGTGCTGCCTTGGTGGTTGAGGACAGGTGGTGATTCAGGTACAGTGAAGTGAAACTTCATCTGACCCTCTTTACTGTGTATTTTCTTGGATTTTTGTTGTTGTTGTTCCAGTGGTGTGCTTGACTTCTCCACTGAGCTCTGGTACTCCCCACAAACTTGGACATCCACAAGTGGTTGTCCATTTCGTGCACTGTAGATGATGCCAGAAAACTTGTATTCAGCCTTTTGGCTGACATTCTTGTTTCTTTCTCTTTATTCCTCTTCAAGTAAGGCAAGTCATAGTTAAACTCAGAAAAGGTGTGTCCATTGGCTTTTGCCCTTCTATGGTGGCTGAAGTCTCTTTCTAGGTCTGCAATGAGAGGGTAGGCTGGGGAGCACTGTATCCTGTCCAATTTCCAGATCCCAGCATGTTCTCACACAGTGCACCTCTGATAGATTGAATTGATACCTTCTATCATGTTGCATGGTTCACTTATCCTCTGAATCAAAGTTGCATATAAAAAAATTAAAATGAATTCACTGGTTTTTTTTTTTTTTTTTGACAGGCAGAGTTAGACAGTGAGAGAGAGATAGAGAGAAAGGTCTTCCTTCTGTTGGTTCACCCCCCCAAGTGGCCACTACAGCCAGCGCACTGAGCCGATCCGAAACCAGGAGCCAGGTGCTTCCTCTTGGTCTCCCATGCAGGTGCGGGGCCCAATCACTTGAGTCATCCTCCACTGCCCTCCCGGGCCACAGCAGGGAGCTGGACTGGAAGAGGAGCAACCGGGACAGAATCTGGCACCCCAACTGGGACTAGAACCTGGGGTGCAGGCGCCACAGGTGGAGGGTTAGCCTATTGAGCCATAGCGCCAGCCTTGAATTCACTGTTAGGAGGTTACTCCAGTTGCCACCCCATCCAATAGTACTTTACTCACAGAGAAAATGTTCCTAAACTGCAACAGGCACAAAGGTACAAGTTTATACCTAGAGAAAATCAGCTGTAATGAGAATGATGAAGACTATGATTGACAATGGTGATGGCAATTTTTATTAAGCATTTTATTGCAAATACAATAAAGTTCCTAGCTAACTCATAGATACTTGAATCATCAACTCCTCAAGCAAGAAGTCACTGTATCATAACTGTCATGCTCTCAGTAAGAATATACCTCCTGTGTGTACATCAGCACTTGTGTTGGCTCTTTCAGTCTTCGTTGAGCCACTCTGGAGATTCAAAGTCTAGACATTCACTCTGTCTACTAAGCTTGACTAGACAATGCATCAGCTAGGGGAACATATTTGTTAATAACAACAACAAAAGGAAATTATTTGAAAGGTGGAGTTATAGAGACAGAGAGAGGGAGAGCTACATCTTCCATTCTCTGGTTCACTCCCCAAATGGCCACATGATTGGGGTTGGACCATGCTGAAGCCTGGAGCTAAGAACTTCATCTGAGTCTCCCACGTGGGTACAGGGTAACAAGGAGTTGGGCCTTCTGCTGCTGCTTTCCTGGGCACATTAGCAGGGAGCTGGAGCAGAAGTGGAGCAGCTGGGACTCAAATCAGCACCCATATGGGATGGCAGTATTGCAGGAGGCGGCTTAACCCATTATGCCACAACCCTGGCCCCAACAAGAGCAATTTAAAATTAACAGAAAGAGATTTCAGTAACAGTTATGGAAAACTGAAGATATTCAGAATGTAAAACCAGAAAGTTTTTAAACTATTACCTCCAATTAGTTCAACATTGTCATATATCCTTACTAAAGACAAATTAAGATTAAGAAAAAAAAAGAGGAAGTGTTGAATGTGAGGCAGAATCCTACTAAATACTCAACTAGCCTAGCCTTTAAAAGCTAGTCTTAGGCAGGCACAAGTTCCAAGCATGTTGGGATCTCAGCACTAGGCTAGCTTGCATGGGCAGAGGTGGGCTGTAGAAACTCACCAAGGCACAGGGTTGAGTTCCCTGATGGGCCAGGCCCAGTTTGTGTAGTTAACCCCAGAACTGACCTGGACTTGTGCTAGTATTAAAGGTGGTTCAGCTTAGCAGGGAGAGAATAACAACAGAACCACGGCGGTATCCTGGTTACCAGTGCTATAGCTGCTTAACAACAACATCTCAGCCAGTTTCTGGAGGACATCATCTCTGGGGAGCAATGGATGGAAAGAACTAGGCAGCTTACCAGAACCTTGGCCAATGGAACAAAAGTTCAGGGAAGGCTCAAGTCCTTGTGCAAATAAGATCAACTGGGAATCCCACAGACCAAGACAAGATTAGGAGAGGTCAGGTGCCCATATAAGGGTTTTCTTTAGCAGATTTATTCCATATCTCAGCATCAGATAAATAAACCTACTCACTATGGATGCCTAAACAGGATTAACTGGAAAATTCAGTAGAGCTTCCTTAGCCTGTGGCTAAAGGTCCTCATTGCCTA